TATTACCTCATTCATAAAAACAAAAACACACACTAAAAAAAACGTGATAATGGTAAAAAAAATTAGTAATATTCGAGTTCAGTTGAATGTAACTGATATTACTTGCTTTACGCTTCAAACATAGCAACATAGAAATCTGCTTATTCAGAAACTTCAAAAGAACGGCATTCGAGATAAAACGGTTCGAAGGCTCCCACGACGCCAATGACGTCATCATAGTAACCTCGTACTACGGCAACGGCCTGCCGTAGGACACCTTCTGACAACGTTCATGCCCATTGAACACCATGCGCGCGCAACCCTAGCATGAGACACTACCGTGAAGATGGTTGTACCGCACTGGCTAAATTGCTCATCTACAGCGAGTGACTCGTCGCAACTTTAAATGGCAGACCAACTACACGCTGTATAAATATGCCCACAACCCCGATTTGCCGAGGACACCTCACGAACTAAGTTGCCAGAATAAACACGCGTAAATAAATAAATATGCCAAGTGTTTCACGGAACTCTGGCTAAATTGCTCCTGCAAAAAGTACGCGTCGCACAGAAAAATAAAATGGTGTCATATTGGTCTTTGTCAAAGTGCTTATTTCGGAAAATCAGTAACGCTCGGTACAATTATATAGGCTTCTTTTTTTTAAAAAGTTCGCGCCAACGCCTTTCTGGTCGGCACAGCTCGTGTTGAAAACGGGCGCTACGTCAGTGTTCGGCGAGGACTCGGATCCAATCAATCAATATCAATATTTTATTTTATTTCACAAGAAAGATGGCAGCCGGGACAAAAAGCAGCAACAAGTGTAGCTTGACGACGCACCAGCTCCAACATGGCAGTTAGCATTCGTCATCAGTTAAACATGGAGTGACACACAGCCCCAATACAAACAAATATATGTATATATATATAAAAAGGCGTACTTTTAGCTCAAAGTACGAAACAAAACAAAAATTAACAAAATATCAATCATTCTTGTTATTTGGTACACCAGTTAACAATGCACAGCTGAGAAGCAATAGCAAATAATTGACATTCACAGAGTAGATAGAATATCCATTAATACTTCAAATGGCAAATTGTGAGAAAAAAAGACTCCCATTATTAAATGTGTTTAGTAAGAATGGTAGAGTATACCTGATGGATCCTAGCCCATAGTTTGGTTGGAGGGTGGGTGTATACCATTGTTCATTTAAACGCCTGCGATATATGTTTGTATTCTTAAGTAAGTTGGATATATAAAAATAATATTTTTTGCAAGTTTGTATGAAGCTAGGAGGTTATACATGTTTGTTATTCTAACAATCTTGAATCGTGTAAAGAACGTATCTGTGTTAAAAAAAAAATACGATTCATTCGCGACCCCTCTTAAGGTTTTTTTCTCTAGGGTTAGAAGTGTATTAATACTCTGTATGGTAGTGGTGCCCCACACCAAATGGCAATACACAAAATATGACTGGACAGGACCGTGGAAGATGAGCTGCTTAATAAACGGGGTGAAAATAGAGCGATATTTAGAGTACAATCATACGGCCGTTCTGACTTCGTGATGTATATAGTTTACGTGGTCATTCCATGATAAAGTATCGGAAAAGAGTATGCCCAATAATTTAAACGTTTTCACAATCTCAATATCTTCGTTTTCATTTTCGGTCAGTGCTAGACAATGCACTTCAATATTTTGTCGCCTGCTGTACTGTTCCAGATCGTTCGGTTCACGTCTTAGCTGCTTTACTTCGGCATCTTTACTAATCTCTGCTTCCATGAGCAATTTTTTTTTTCAACTCTTTATTTTTTTTTTTTTTTTTTTTTTTTTGAGAGTGCAGCTTGTACTGGTCCGACATGACCTGGACTGACTGCTTGATAGCTTCAGCTGTAGTTTTTATTTCCATTCATGTGTTGGGCCTTGTTGTGAAGTGTCATTATGGCCAGACAGCTCCTTCTTAATTTCTTCGAGCGTATTTTCGTCATTCTGTACGTTGCTCAGTTTCTGTTCTGGTTTTTGGGGGTTCCTTCTTGCCTCCCCCTTTTTACACGTCTGACAATTCCCCGTTTTGTTTTTCTTTTTTTAGATTCGGCATGTTTTTAATGTGTTTCCAGACACATCTGCGCATGTTCCCGAATGATTACTAAAGTCACAAACACAACAACATACGACTGTGCCTTATCCGGAAGTGGTTAATTATGTGCGATACAAATGGGACCACTTTCATCATTGGACATTGCGCCTCAATTCAATAGACAATTTGTCTGTGGCGGCAGCAGCAGCAGCAGGATCAGTAATCTTTACTTAAAGGGATACGGAATCGAAACTTGAAATATAGAGAAAACATCAAGAAATGAGTTCAATATGATCAGCTAAGCCTGTAATGAATAATCGCACGATCGTATTTTGAGCAGATGGCTATATTTTATGCTCTAAATGCCGCGATTTTGGCGAGCGCTTCAAAATCAGCCATGGAGGAGCGCGATGCATCTCGGGAGATCCGGCAGACGTCTTGACGTCATCATGCCTCGGACGACCAAGCGTACCGTAGTGACGAGTTTTGCCACTTGGAGGCGTCAACGCGTTACAATCTCGCTTTGTCGAAGTACCCAAGGGCTGTAGAGATCGCGGGGCCAGCACGCGCACCAAACCTGAGAACAACCGAAGCACGCGTTTGCACGTCGCGCGAGAGCTGAAACCAAGGTGGCTTACTTCGTTTTGGCTCTTTCCACCAAGACGCCTCGGTATTGCGTTCAGGCCTAGGCAATCTATACCAGTGAGCGGACATACCGCTGCGGCGCTGCTTTCAGAGGCATGTTGTCGTCACGACATTCCATTGAAGCTTCATAACCAACTACCAGGTGGTTTTTGATTATCGTTTAATTCACTTTAAAATATGTTTTCTTGCGTTTTCTAGTGCAATATTTATGTTTCTGTGGTTGTGCTGCTACCTGCGTCGTGTTGAAACAAAGAAATGAGCTCCAGAATTTGGTTTCCGTACCCCTTTAAAGGTTAAAAATGCGCCAACCTGTACGTAAAGACGCTGCGTTAGCGCGAGGTTATGTTGCTGCTGCCGCTGCTAACTATCTGATGAATCACGCGCTTCATACCAAAGTAATGGCGACTGCCGACGTTGCCTGATGGACTTTTGAAAAGTGTCCACTACTTTTGAATAACCGACTCTTTTATTCAGTAAATTTAAAGGCATGGTTTCGAATGGAAAGTTTTTGAGACCCGTCGAAAATTACTATATCAGCGCACTTTACAGAATTGTAAGGCAGCGCAACATTTTAAAGCGTTAAAAAAAAAACTAAATTTGAATGCATTTCTAAGTTTAGGTTTTCCATCAAGACAGATCGCCGCTCCAGCTCTCCTGTACCTCCTGGCCAAAGCGCGCTACTACCGCTTCGCCTCCTTCGACAAGGAGGCGTGGGGCGAGCGGGCGAAATGAAATGCTGTGCTGTTCGAGTAGCATTACAAGAATACGCTTTGACTTTTGGGGTTCACCACAATCGTGCAAAGAATGCGCGGGTTCTCACGTTAACTACGCGCTTTGGCCATGGGGAGCAGAACCGCGTTTCGATGAAAAATCGAAACTTAAAAAAAGCGTCCATATGCTGCCGTTTAATTGAAACATTGCCTTTAAATTTACTCATTCTAAGAAATGAAAGACGTTTTCAAATCTCTGTAATGCCGAATTAGAGCGCAGCTCTTGAGGAGGAGGAGGGGAGGGTACGCCCCTCCTCCACCTCCGTACCCTCCTTCTCCTCCTCCATACCCTCCCTCCTACGCCTCCGTACCCTCCCCTCCTCCCGCATTTCTCCTGATAAATTCAGCGGATAAATGGACGCGACGTGAACTCAACACCGATTCAGTTTCCCCGCTAAGTTTAGTAGGGAAAACGACGTCACATGACTTCGTGTCACGTCACGTATGAACAAATTCAGTTTTTCCGCTAGATTTAGCAGGAAAACTTACATCAGGTGACCTCAACACCAATTCAATTCCCCGCTAAATTTAGCGGGGAAAGTGAATTGGTGTTGAGGTCATCTGACGTCAGTTTTACCGCTAGATTTAGCGGGGAAACTGAATTCGCGGTGTCGCATTATGGGACGTCACAGACGTACACACCAATTCAGTTTCTTCGCTAAATTTAGCGGGAAGTGGAGTTGGTGTATAGGTCTGGGACGTCCCATAATGCAACGCGCGCGGTTACGTCGACGCCGACGCCGTTATACGTGGAAACAAGCGCCTAAGAGCTGCACTCTAAAACGTCAATTACTAAAGGGTAATGAAGATCCTACTTACACCAAACGCTACTCATTTTTCTTCTTTTTTTTCGAGCGACGCTTAGTTTTCACAGCAGCGATTTCACCACAGCATTGCGTGATCGAAAAACACTGATCTGGTTTCTGCGCACGCGCAGTATGGTGCCTGGAACGCGTCTCCCGCTGGTGGCTTTCGACTTTCGTCCGATAACTTCATACAAGTGGCACGCTATCGCCGGTCGCGATCCTGGCGGTGTCACAGCAACGGTTGTATATGTGGCGGACGCCTGTTCCGCTGCAAGTCGCTCTTCAGCTTGACAGTCCGCGGAAGCTTCGGCAGGTAGGAGTTGAGACGCCGTGACGACAGCGACACTCGCGTTTGCTCGTGCTTTTTGCCGGAACTTTTAAGACCAACCGCTAGGATCGCAACATGCGACAGCGTGACACTTAGGCAAATTTCGTGACGACATTTTCTGCCACCTCAAGACCGCTTTCAGTGCATGGGCGGAATAGGGTAGGTAGGCGTTTATTTAAACAATGATGTCAACCAGCGCCTGGTGCTGGTTTGCTACATTGTGAAATGAACGGAAGCGAAAATCATAAAGATAGAAGAGAGAAAGGTAAACAGAAAAGGATAGAAGAGAGAAAGGTAAACAAAAAACGATAGAGGGAGAAAACACGCAAAACCAAAGTATTAAAAACTAAAAAAAAAAAAAATCTAAAAAAGCTAGCGAAAATGTTTCACTGGAAATTGTCATCGGCCATTGCTGTTCATCTACTCCCCTACAGTTTCTTCTGTAAGCGAGTAGCTGCTAGAAATTTCAGCAGAGCTTTCGTAGCTTTATACCCCTCAGCAGCAGAGATCCATGGACCAAGCAGAGTACGAATGCTTACGTCTTGTTCATTTTGTAGCCTCAGGTCTGTCTTCATAAGCTCTCTTTCACGGCTGTAGTCCTTGCATTCACACAATACATGTTCGATGTTATGGGTGACTCCGCACGAAGCACAATCAGAAGACTCAGCTCTACCGATTTTATAAAGGTAGCTGTTGGTGTATGCCACATTCAGTCTCAAGCGATGTAGGACCGTCTCGGCTGCCCTTGGTAGTCCCCGAGGTGCCCGAAATCTAAGTTTGGGATCGATATTGTAAAGATAGGAATAATGATATTGAGGATTTCTCCAAAGGGAAGATGCTATTTCTTGGCCTATATCTCTAATTAAGTTATTTGCATCTGATTTAGAAAACGGGATTGACACAGTAATATCGCTCTCATGAGCGTTTCGAGCGGCTCTGTCAGCGATAACATTTCCGGTTATACCAGAGTGACCAGGAATCCACTGTATAATAAACTGGTGCCCTTTGCATGAAGCTTGGCGAGTTGCTTCCAGAATATCCTGTGCGAGTTGCAAGTTCGGGCTACATTTCTTCATCGTAGAGAGGGTGAGTAGAGCAGTTTTAGAGTCCACAAAGATGGCCCAAAAACTAGGACTCTCGGCTCCCACGCGAGCAACAGCTGCTCGAATTGCTGCGAGTTCCGATGCTGTTGACGACGTAACGTGGCTCAACCTTGCTTGTATGCATGCGTCCAGAGACGGAATATAGGCTCCCAGGGTCGATGATGCTGTCATTGTAGATCCGTCGGTGAAGACATGTCTAAATGAGGCATACGTTCGGTTTATGTATTCCAGCACTGTCTGCGTAATCACGGGGGTGGGCATTGTTTTCTTCGAAGCGATTCCCGGAACACTTGTTCTTATTTCTAAGTGAGGGTACCTCCATGGTGGATAGCTTGGAATTACCGCAGCTTCAAAAGAAGTTGGGATGTAATCCTCCAAGAGTGCGATGACTTGTGCAAAGCCAGATGATGGTCTCTCTGTTACTATATTTGTGAGGTGATGCTTGTATGTACGAGATTTGTGACGAAGATGGGCTCTTAACGTTTCTTGCGTTCTTAAAATGGCTGGTGAAATCGCTTGTGCTTCCGCAAGAGATCCCAAATTAGAAGTGCCTTTAGGAAGCCCTAAACATGTGCGAAGAGCTTGTGCTTGAATACTCTCGAGTTCTTTTAGAAGAGTACGTGAGATGTTATGCATAGCAGGCAGGCTGTAGCGCAGAAGTCCGAGAAATAAGGCATTATAAAGGGCAAGGAGTGCGGAGACAGAGCATCCCCATTTGGTTCCACTAATCATCCTGATTATATTGATGAAAGAGGAGAGCTTCTTTTTAAGGCGTTTTACATGGGGGCCCCAGGTCAGCTGCCTATCGAGAGTGACACCCAGGAAGGTATGTTGCGTGACATATGGAATTTCCTTTCCGTCTATTTCAATTGGGTATTTGTCCGTGTGCTTTTTTGTGAATGCCATCGCTGCTGACTTTTCCGGCGATATGTGCAGACCTCGGAGGTGTAGGTACCGTGCGGTAATGTTAATGGCTTTTTGTAGTCTTGCTTTGTTGATATACAGAGATCTACTGCAAGTCCAGAAGCAGATATCATCCGCGTATATAGACACGTGAACGGTTTTTGGGAGAATTTTCAGGAGACCTATGAGAGAAATGCTAAAAAGCATCGGGCTGAGGACGCCTCCTTGTGGTACTCCCCTAGTAATATGATGAAGACCGGTGTTGCCGTCCTGTGTCGATATGTAGACTTCTCTTTCTTTTAGGTAATTGGCTATCCATTTGTATACACGTCCTCCAAATCCAATGGCCTTCATATCTTGAAGAATAGCGTCGTGTTCTACGCAATCAAAAGCCGACTTTATGTCCACAAATACAGCTGTTGTTTTTGTATTTACTACCTTCATTTGTTCAATACTAGTTACTAAGTCAATAACGTTGTCAATGCTGCTTCTTCCGCGTCGAAATCCATTCATGGACGAAGGATATAAATCTCTATTTTCTAGATCCCATACCATACGGGTAAGCAGCATTCGCTCCATTACTTTGCCTATGCAACTTGTTAATGCTATCGGACGGTAAGAGTTAATGTCTAAAGGAGATTTTCCAGGTTTTAAGATTGGTAGAACCCGAGCAATTTTCCATTCCTTCGGTACAGAACCCGTTTCCCACGAGGAGTTAAAAATATGTAGCAGTGCGGTCCTCGCCCCCTCCCCCAAGTGGCGTAAGGCTGAATACCGTACACCATCCGTGCCTGGGGATGACCTAACGTTAGACATCTCGAGCGCCATATCAAGTTCCTTTAAGGTAAAACATGCATCGATAGCCTTGCATACACTTACGGATACATGTCCCTCCTGTGCACTGACTTTGTCATGAGGCCTTGAAGAGCTGGAAGTGATCTTGATACAGAACTCTTCAGCGACGACTGTTTCTGTTACTTGGCGACTCAGACTGATGGCGCAGAACGGGTGAATTTGCTGTGGCCTGGCACGTAGGCTTCGCATTATTTGCCATGTTCGATCGAGTGGTTTTCTCGGGTCAAGGTTGGAACTAAGTGACCTCCAGCGTCTTTTGGAAAGTTTGTCCAGGTGGCGTTGAACACGCTTTTGCGCTCGCCTAGAAGCCCGAACATCCTCAACATTCTTAGTCTTCCTTGCCCGGCGTTCTGCTCGTCGACGAATGGCCCGAAGACGCTCATATTCACCATCGACTGCAGTATGAGGTTTTGTCATGTTGACATTTTTTGTCGCCTGAGAAGTTGAAGAGGTTACAGCCTCTGCAAGACCTTTTGGCTCGGTTACCGCGATACATGCGGATTCCATTTTGGTTTTAAAGAGATCCCAGTCAGTATAACACATTGTGGTACGTCGCTTCGTGCAGTGCATTCCTTGAATCGTAGTGTATGTAGGAACATGATCGCTACCGTGTGTTTCAATATCAGCAAACCACGTTGTTTCCCCAGAGAGGGTTGAAGATGCGAACGAAACATCTAAAGGACTACTCATAGATGCCCCTCTAAAATACGTCGGACTTCCGTCGTTGAGTACTACAAGATCATGTTTTAGAGTGAGGTCAAATAATGCGTGTCCTCGAGTGTTATTCTTTTTACTTCCCCATGATGCGTGGTGACTGTTGAAATCGCCCGTCAGAATATGAGGGGATGGGGTTTGCTGTAGAATAGTATCGAGCCTTTGAACGTCGAAGGGTGCTCGAGGGGGTATGTAGCCAGCAATAACTGTGAAGGAAACTTCTGCTTTTCTAATAGTTGCTGCGATATACTCATTTGTAGGGTGTGGCGGGATGTTATGTTGAACAAATGTCAGATCCTTCCGAACGCCGAGTAAAACTCTGCTGAGTTCATTTCCTCCGTGAGAATGATACAGTTCATATCCTGATAACCTGGTGTTGTGAGACACTCGCGACTCTGAAATCGCAATAACGAGAAATTGATATTTAAACACAAATTGACGAAAGTCCGCTAGTCGGTTTCGAAGACCTCTCGCGTTCCATTGAAGGACGGTGGCTTCACCACGAAGCTTCTCTAACGACACCATAGCTTGATAAGTGGAAGTATTGCATCGATCACAGTTAGTAGTGCTTGGGATAGGGGAGACTCCCATGTACAAAGGATACTACGGATGACATTGACGATTGTTTGAAGCTTGTCCCCTGTAACAGACGGTTGATCTTTGGCTGGTGCCTTGGATTTGTCCTGCCTGGGTTGCCTGTTTTCTTTGACTTCTACATCAGATTTCGAAGCTGAATTGGGGAGTCTCGGAAATTCGTTTTCATTCTTCAACTCCAAGGTGGATACTTGGGCGTCTCTTGGCTTCACATGTGTTTGGATTTGTCTAGCGTTTGACAGCTGTGTTGACGAGGAGGTTTGTGGATCTTGAATTCCCTCCTGTAGAAGTTGGTGAGCTCCCAGGTCTTGTTTCGTTTTTGTACCATCTGTTTTAGAGCGACCTTGGGACACTTTCTCCTTCGATGACAGTAGGGCCGCTTTTGCTGTTGTGTACCCAACTTTAGCTTCGCTCTTGTACTGATATATTTTCTTTTCCCTTTGGTACACAGGGCACAGATGCGATGTCGAGTCATGTGCTTTACCGCAATTTGTGCAGAGCAGGTCAGCCGCTTCACACTTCATACGGTCGTGTGCTCCTCCACAGCGAGTGCAGCGCACGTCGTTTGTGCAGGCGGTTTGGACATGTCCAAAACGACCGCATTTCCAGCACTGACGCGGTTTCTCTATGTACGGCTGCAACTTGAACCTTGTGTATCCCACGGTGACATATTCTGGTAGTGTGTCCGTGCTGAAGACGACTTTGACAGACTCAGATTTACCCAGTCGAGAAATGGAGATGACGGGTGCAGTGGCACGGACTGCCGATTGTAGCTCGGCTTCGGTAATGTCTGCTGGTACCTGGTAGATCACTCCGGCCGCCAATTCCCGTGGAAGTGGTTCATAAGCGATGACAGGTATTCCACCTAATGAGGTGAGTCCAAGAAGCGCTTTCGTGGCTTCAGTGTTTCTTGTGTCAATCGCCAGCACGTTGAGTCTTCGATTGGGCCTAACCAAGATGACCCCATCTGGAGCAGTCATTTCAAGTTTCTCTGTAATCTTCATCGGGTTAATTGTTGCAATCATGCTTACTGGATCTTTGGGCTTGATTATCACTGTAAGGCGGGGATGAGCCTGGGTCATGGTTTTGACTGTCTTACTGCTGCAGTCTGAGCTAGTAGATGGTTTGCGTCTCTTTCGGCCCAGGACCATTTGATATGGCTCTGAATTCATATCTTGATCATCAGAGATACTTTCGTAGTAGGATATGGTGCTTGAGGAGCTCGACATACCCGTTGAATCCTGTTCCATTTCGGTTGGCGTGGCAGCTTGGCCGGAAGGAAGGCCCTCCGCGGCCATGGTCGGTGAGCGATGCGTCAAATTAGAAGATCGTATGGTTTTTCCCTGGCCCGAGCAGTGAGAAACTTGATTAAAATCAAAATATAGCGAGACGCCCACAATAGCAGTGAAAACAGAACAGACTTATTCTTCTTTTCCATGGGCGGAATAGGACGCTAAACACCCCAGTCAGAGACGCATTGCGAGCACCGTACGTGCAGTGCCAATGCCTGGTCAATTCAAACAATCGCTCAAGCTCGTTGGTGCAAACGCAGACGTGTTTGTGAACAGCCTGCTCCTCGTAACGCGTGTGTACTGCGACCACACAAGAGCCAAAGCGAACAGGCGACACGAACGCGCTCTGCTTCAGCGGCAGCTGACGCGGGACGCACTGCCGCCGTCGCCACCTGCAGCAACGCCGACGAACGCCATTAGCAGCGCGGGCCGCAATCGTAATTGAAGCGGACGGGCGGAACCCGTACGGCCACGGTCAATCAACTACGCGAAGCCACCTGGGAGCCCGAAACCCGTCCAATTGTTCGCCTACGAACGCGGCGTTTTGCAATCAGGTCGCTCGTAGGTTTTCATTCGACGTGCGCGCCGCCGTCGTCATTACGTCGGTCGGCCTGGAAAGCGCCCATTGTCAGCCCGGTGGTTAGCATTCGCGCGGAATTAGTTGCCGTCCCGAAAGTTTGGGCCACAAAAGCTATACTCCGCATGGCGCGCGAATGGGCTTGATCAATAGGGCTTGCACAGCGGGTCTGCAGGATGCCTTGCGCGCTTCGTCAATACGACGTTATTATTGGGATCGAGTTTAGAATACACCTCTTTCTCACTCTCATTAGCTGCCTCTTTCCCCCTACTATTTGTTTTCTATCTACTTCCTTTTGTTCTACTCGGGCCGTGGACGTCAACATCGGAAAATGTCACAGTCAACCAGTCCGTTGCTGGTCCTTTTTCAAAAGACGAAACTGGACCGAATACAAATGATGCTGCTTGCTAAACCAACTATTAGCGGCGAGATGTTTTAGTGGCGCCCTCCTACGGTTCCCCCTTGTGACGTCATTACCTTGCAAACAACAAGTTCGATGGTGTTTGTAAATATCATGGTGGAAGCTTGAAATCATTGCGCTCTCAAAGAAACACTGCCAACACCGTCAAAATTAAAGTTCTTTCATTCCTCTTATATCCGTCGACGATAAACCTTTTTCTGACGTCATAGTCAGCGTTCGGCCAATCGTGGAAGGCCGACCACAGCGACGCTTTCGGTCGCACACGTCGCCAATAGTGGATATTCGCTGGAGGTCGCAACCGATTATCTGCTCAGCATCTGCTGACAGCGAGCTTTCACGGTGCTACTGCAGCGTGCATTCCACACCATCAAGACTTCTGGTCTTGGAAACCTATAGACCTTTTCCACAAGGGCGCCGCCATCTTGAATTGTCGTCACTTCCAGTATGGGCGAAAACATTACTTAACCGTCACCACGCCAATAAAAGACATTTAGGATATAAGCCTAACCGTCACACATTCTCGTTTTGGCTCCCCTCTATTTTTTTACTAGTTACAGGTTGAAACGTTTTACTATTTTGTCGTCGCCCATACTGGAAGTGAGGACAACTCAAGATGACGGCGCTCCCTTGCATTGACGTCACATCGCATACTTTTGAACACCAAGTAAAAGGAAGAGAGAGAAGCTGCTTTTTTAAGAATTTTGAGTGACAGGTTAATCTATAATCTTCTGGGAGGAGAATAGCGACGCCTGTGCAAATCCGGGAGGCACAAAAGGTGATCCTGATAATAGGGGGGGCTCCTTCTTTCCCTTTTCTCTGGAGGTCAT